GTATAAACATTTAAATAATCACTGCATTGTACTTCCAGTTGAACTGTACCATACATACAAAGACTTGTTTGTGTTTGTCTTGGGATTATTTTGATTAACTTTTTATTTTGTCAAATTTGTATAACCTCACTTTTATGCTTTTTTTAATTATGCCATTTTTTCAGGATGGCTAAGAGAACTGCAGAGGCTTCAGCAATCCTTGAAAGAAGTGCTCAGAAGAAAAAAAGCAACAAGAAAGAGGATGAACTTCAAAGTGATGGAGAAGGTGATGGAGAAGATATCTCTGAAGATGAGATGATGCAGTCCTTAACAGATGAAGAAATGAGTAGTGATGAGGAATATTCTGATGAAGATGAGGATGAGGAATATTCTGATGAAGATGAGGATGATGAGACAGATAGTGAGGAAAATGAGAACGTACTTAAGGGCAAAAAAGGTGACAAAATTTTGGTTCCTTAATTTTTTTTAAAATTTAAAGTCATGTTTGCTTTAAATTCTGAATCTGAATGTAAGCTGACTGAGGACCTCACAGGGGTATATGCATCATTGTGTGTCATCGATCTGCAAACTATTAGGTGTTATTAATTTATCTAAAGATTAATTTATTAAATAATATTACATTTGAGCAACACAACACATAAACTCTTCCATGCTCAAAATAAGTGGATTGTTAAATTGATACGTTCTATGTAATGTTCAGTGATGTGTGGATTATTTTATATTTTCATGTCGCTTTATTAACTCAAAAAAAAAAAAAAATTCCTCATAATGCTACTGCATTAAAAAAGTATTTTGTTCGTTAATAGTTTAACAGGGTTTTTTCAGCTAGATATCCTGATATTTGTGGACTTTGTAGTGTGACCACTAACCAGAAATGTAACATTTTTTAATGGTAAAGGTTATTCTGATGACAACCAGGACTGGCTCAAGCTTGTAAAGAAAAAGAAGCTTCCTGTAGATGAGGAAGCGGAGGAGGGGGACGAAGATGAGGATGAAGATGTAGACACGGATGATGATTTTGTAAGTACTTAACTAGTTTTTTGCTTCATCAGAACTATTTGTGTTTGTAAGTAGCTTGTTTTAGTCGTTTACCCTGTTTCTGCATATACTGTACCTATTTCCGGGCATACTGCTATCCAACTAGGTATCAACCAACCTGATTTCTGTTAGACCTCATCATGTCTGTTCTAAGTTGGTTACTTTATTTGTTGTTTTGAAAACTGCAATAGACCGAATTAGTCACCAAACCAAAGCCGTTTAAGTGGGTATAACATCAAAACAAACCGTTAGGTGGCAGTTTTTCACACAATAATAAGCCTCCGCTCAAGTAAATTTTGACAGTCTCTAAACTCCTCAAAATTATTTATTTGTACATTTCATCGTAAAATACCTTATCGAAAAGACTTGGTAAATATTTCTGTAATAAACGTCCGAGTTTTGACCCATTAGGTTTGAAATGGAGTGAAAAGGAACAAATGGAAAATTTGAACTTTTTTGCATAGCCTCGTCGTGTGAACACAGCTCTAGGCCTGCTGTAGACTAGAAAATCATACAAACAAACAAACATCTTATTCTACAGTTCAGCAACAAAAAGACTTGGTGACAGTATTTAAGCTGAAGGTGTACTTTTTTGCATAGTGATCACCTTGGTCAGCGATCACTTTAGTCAGCGCTGGATGTGGTGAGTCCCATAAGCGACGGACCTAGGCCCCTTAGAAGGCCTCTCAAAATTCTTAGTCTGAATGGAAATTTAATTCAAAACCTTTATCTCATGAATCTATAAATTATTTAAAATGTATACATTGTTACAGTATAACAAAGTATCTTCTACGCTAACTTTATTACATTTTAGACAAATTTCAGACACCACTTTCGATTCTGCTCAGTGCATTAGCATAGGACTTTATAACGATGTAAACAACTTTTTTTTTTATACTAAATCGGTCTCTTTGCATTGAATAACGAATCCAGGCGTGTAGGCAGGCAGTGTGGATGCACCCCTTACCCCATATTTC